ACAGGCTAATACTACGTGTGCGTCGGCCCCCCCAGGGGCGACGCGCGCGCCGGGAGATCTCATAGCACAAGCTCCGTGGCGGGCGTCTTCGGGCCACACCGCTCGGGAAGCGAGGTACCACAGTGCCGTTTTTCATACATGCTCCGCGTGCGGATCATGTATTAAAAAGGCAGGGAAGGGGTTTAGTATTAAAAACAACGATGAGTTCATGCATACATCTATTCATACACTAATCATGTATTTTAAATCCCATATGTTTTGAAACAAATCCTATGTATGAAAAACTGCCCCGTAGTATCAGACGTCTGTGCTGCCTCTTCGGGCCAGACGCGCGCCTCCGACATCAGCACACGACCGGGCCAGTGGCCATGTGGACAGGACCTGATCGATGGTCCAAGGTCCCATCTCGGCTGCCCTTGCATCCTGCCTTCGTTATGGGGTGGTCGCGGTCGCTTGGGCCTGGCATCTATGGTCTGAAGACGGCTCGAGGCGAAGTCCTGGATGTAGTGAAGTGCGCCCCCGTACAGCACAAAAGATCGCCACACGACCCTCGCCAGGTGTGGCTCTTCGGGCCAGGCGCGCGCCTCTGACATCAGCACACGACACTCTTGAGGAGGAGGAGGAGGAGGAGGAGGAGGAGGAGGAGGGAGGAGGAGGAGAGGAGGAGGAGGAGGAGGAGGAGGAGGAGGAGGAGGAGGAGGAGGAGGAGGAGGAGGAGGAGGAGGAGGAGGAGAGAGGAGAGGAGGAGAGGAGGAGGAGGAGGGAGGAGGGGGGAGGAGGAGAGGAGGAGGAGGAGGAGGAGAGGAGGAGGAGGAGGAGGAGAGGAGGAGGAGGAGGAGGGAGGAGGAGGAGGAGGAGGAGGAGGAGGAGGCGGAGGCCCTCGCCAGGTGTGGCTCCGGCCGCGGGGCCGCTGGAGCGCCGGCGGCGCCCTCGCGCTCGTGCCCTCGGCGAGCCGGCGGGCGCTCTCCTCGTGGGCCGCGCGCGGCGCCGGCGCGGCCGCGGAGGCCTCCGCCGTCGCCGTGGAGGCCTCCGCCGTGGCGCACTTCGCGCGCGCCGTTGCGGGCCCTCTCAGGAGGGGAAAAAGCACACAGACACAATGAATCGTCGATCCCCAGGGGAATATGGGAAAGTATGGGAAGTGGTGGGGAAGACAAAAAACCAAGAGAATGTAGGAAACTTTGGGGGATCTTTTTATTTGTGTGTGTGTGTTTATTTGTGTGTCCCAGGGCCCCTTCACCCTCGCGAGCGGCGAACTCACCACCCACCAAACCACCCCAACCCAACCCGAAGGCTCAGATCTACCCTCGTCGATTTCCAGTGGGGGGGGGGGTCGGGAAGCATCGACAAAAGAGCGCCCCGGATGCGCGGGGTCGCGGCCCCGGGGAGCCCAGGGCCGCAAGGCCGCGGGTGCGGAGATGTGTTTTGTCTCGCCCACGAGGCCCGCCGCCGCCCCAGGGGCCGGCCGAGTGACGCGCCGCGTGCCCGGGCGGCCTGGAGGGCCGCATGCTGCGTGGGAGGAGGAGGAGCAGAGCTGCAGAAGCCCAGACATCGGGGCGGGGCAACGTCTCGGGAACTGGAACGTATGCATTATACCAGCGGCGGTCTGTTTTCCAATCCCAGGATTCTTTGAGGGTCGGGGACGACGTCGGGGTGGTGTGGTGTAGACTTGTTTCCCAGCTTTCCCGTGGAAGCAACAACAAATGTCTACACCAGGATGCCGTATACACACCAGAATCCGTTGTCTTGTGCGAGTCTCAGCGCGGGACCAGCAAAAAAAAAGCATCGCTGTAGAAAGTTCGGGTCCTTCATTGCTGCCTCTCGCCAGGCATTTTCGCCCGGCGGTGCGGGCCCCGGGGCCATCCGGGGTCGACCCGGCTCGAAGGGTGCTGCAGACACTTGGACGCCCGAGATGGGTACGGAAAGACCAACAGCAAATGCCGGCCCGAACCATCCGCGGCCGCTGTTGGGCAGGCGGCCTCCTGGCTCGAATGAGCACAGGCCGCGGCGGCGTGGACAGCGAATCCTGTTCAAGATGAGCAGGAACTGCTGCTGTTGGGCATGGTACCTTGGTTCAAATAGCATTATATCCATGTTACAAAGATTCTTTCAGACATGTTTATTATTTTAAAGATTTATCCACTCTTTCCGTGCCCATGTCGGGCGTCCAAAGGCAGACGGGGTCTGCAGGGCTCTGGCCGCAGTTTCCTGCGATGCTGCGACTGTGCGCGACGTCGGATCTCGGGGCCAGCCCGCGCGCACCGCCCTCCAGCTCGCGCTCCTGCCGCGCAGGCGGGGCCAGGGGCAGTCGCGAGATCTGTCCTGCTCCGGAGCGGGGGCCGGCGGCAGGTCCTCGCGCGGCGTCGGCCCTCCGAGAGAGGAGCCAACTATACACCTACACCGATCCAGCCCAGGCCGATCCTAGGCCCAGGATCGGTGTATATGCATTCTGCCCATGGCAGGAGGGCGTAATACACCGATCCTGGGCCCAGGCTGATCCCGGCCGGGATCGGTGCTGGTGTATAGTTGGCGCCTCCCTAGGGAGGGAGTTGAGGCACTGGTAATTGGTTTCGGGGGGAGCCTCGTGGCTAACGGCTGGGCGCAGCTCAGAAAAGCCCCGAATCATCAGGGGTAACTCGGGTCAGGGCTAACTCGGGTTCGTTTTTCGGGAATCCGAACCCGACTTACCCCAGACCCGAGTTACCCCGGATAACTCGGGCGCCCAAGCTCAGAAAAACTTGCGCGTTCGGACCCTGCGAGGGGTCCTGAGAGCGATGTTGAGCTGCCGCTGCCTCGGCTCGCGCTGCAGCTCGGCGACCCGGCGGCGACCCCAGCGCGAGCGTTCAGGAGGGAACGCCGCCGCGGGTCCGGAATCTCGGGCCGGGCGAGAGGGGGGGGAGTAGGAAAGGGGGGTTACGAAATCTGCTGCATGCAGCTGGTTTCGGCCCCACCGAGGGGCCCATTCCTCGATACGTAGTCGCCTCCGGCGCCTGGAGGCGCCGGGGAAATCAGCTACGTGAGCTGATTCTCAACCCCCCCCTTTGCTATCCTCCCCTTTCGCCCGACCCGAGAATCGGCCACTGTCGAAGGATCTTGCGCGATCGGGGAGCCGAGATCGTTCAAGGCTGAACGATCCAGGCGGTGTCGGTGTCAGAAGCCGACGCGCAAGTCGTCACGGCACGTCAACCTGCCGTGGGGAGGCGGTAAAATGATGAGTCCTGCTGTGGAACAGGTCACCCCCTGAAGGCCCTGTCCGCCCAGCTGTGCAGCAGGTCTCCTTTGTCTTATGTCGGGCCTGTCCCCCTACAGGGGGATTTTCGACGAAAAATGAAAAATACCCCCAAAGTAATCAAAAAATAATCTAAAAATAGTCCGGGGATTATTTTTTTAGTATTTTTTTACCTTTTGGGTTTTTTCTGTTGGGGTATTTCTTTATTTTTCGTCGAAAATCCCCCTGTAGGGGGACGCCCGACATAACCTTTGTGACAGGCGATTCGCCCCGCTGCGTGACAGGTCACGGCTGCCATCCGTTCTGATGTGAGGCGTCCCCATTCTTGGAGTGTGAGATCCTCCAGAATGGGGGCTCGACCTCCAGAATGGAGATCTTCATGAGGTCTTCCATCCTGTGGGCAGCCCCAACCCCCCGGGCCACCCCTCAGGTGCCGATGCGCCAGCCGCACAGCAGCGGGATGAGGGGAGGGAGGGAGGCACCGATGCGAGCGGGCGGAGTGGCGACTCGGGCGAGCTCTGGCCCAGGCGAGCCTCGAGGTGCCTCACGGCGGAGAGGCCGAAGCCAGAGCGGAAGCGCACCGGGGGACGGGAGGGGCCCGCGCCTCGAAGCGCAGCACGGCGGGAGCCGAAGCCAGAGCTGAAGCGCACCAGGGACTCGGCACCGCTCGGACGCGTGCCTTTTTTTCTCGGCGAGGACCATCGAGGAGCAGCCTTGATCCTTTGGCGAAAGAACGCACGAAACCGGAAAAAGCACAGGGAATGGACGTCCGAGCGATGTCCAGGGGAGGCGGGCAAGGCCCCACCCTGCAGGCCCTGGCGGACAGCACGCCGGCCCGAGGGGGGAGGGCGCCGGGCAGCGCCCCGGCCCGGGACCGCCGTGGCCGGGGCGCCTCGCCGGTCCTGCCGTCGCCGCCGCCGCTGCCGCCGTCCGGAGCTCGGCTCCAGCTTCGGCTTCGGCACGAAGGATTGCAAAAAAGGATTGCAAAAAAACCCTTTTGGCGAAGGATTGCAAAAAAACCCTTCGGTTTTTTTTTGGGCAATCCTTCGAAAAAAGGTTGTTTTGCAATCCTTTTTGCAATCCTTGTTTTTTTTTGCAGGGACGCCGCACGGGCGCACCCGGGCATGCGCCGCAGACGGCTCACTTCAAGTCGGGCCTGTCCCCCATTCATGGGGGACTTTCGACGAGAAATCAAAAATACACCGAAAGTAATCAAGAAATAGTCCAAAAATAGTCTGGGGACTATTTTTGGATTATTTTTTCACCGTTTTGGGGTATTGTTTGGGTATGTTTTATTTTTCGTCGAAAATCCCCCTGAGGGGGGTATTTTTAATGTTTCGTCGAAAAACCCTTTGTAATTAGGGGGACACGCCCGACAGATGGCCACCTCCGAGCGCTTTGAGGCTTTGTTTTGCGCGCAGTGCCGCGAGAAGCCGATCAGGACTGCGGGCCCCCGGCCCCGTGGCCCATGTAAGTACTGCCCATCCCCACCCCAGTCGGGGTCCGTTTCGGTCCGATCGATCCGATTCGATGTCGATTCCAGCTTGCCTGATCCGATCCGATCCCAGAATTCTGAAGTCGGGCCTGTCCCCCTACAGGGGGATGTTCGACGAAAAATATAAGATACCCCAACAATACCCCAAAAAGGTCAAACAGATTCAAAAAATAGTCCCCAGAGTATTTTTGGATTATTTTTGGGCTAGGTGTATTTTTTTGTTTTCGTCGACAATCCCCCTGTAGGGGGACAGGCCCGACTTAACAGTATTCGGATGATCCGTTGCGGCCCGATGTTTGCATGGCGCTGCTGTGCATCTTGGTGCAGCCGGTGCGGTTCGATCTCGGCTCCGTGCCGCTGCGGCCCGATCCGAGGCACGTTCCGATTCGTTTTCGATTTCTCGACTCGATGCTGGCCGGTCCTGCCCTACTCGCCCTCCTCCCATCATCCTCGCTTATGCGCCCGCCCCCCACCACAGCGAAGGTGGCTGCGCCAGCATGTCCTCATCATGCCACAACATTCGCAGGTGGTGCCCTGTCTTAGGGCCCCAAGCCGCCCCTGGACTCTTTGGCTCAAGTACTGGCCCACACCCACAGACCAGAAGGCATCGGCAGCGCTGCTGCTTCCCCACCCAAACAGCAGATATGGCGCCGATGATGAAGTCCACGGTCATGACTAAGAGCGCCCTCACCGCAGCGCTCGCGGAGGCCTGCGAGGTGAAGAGGGGCGTGATCGGCACGGCCTGAAGCACTCTGGCGAGCATTGCAGCGACAGAGGCGAAGAAGAGCGGCAAGTTCGTCATCCTGGGCGTCGTGATGATCAAGACCCGCCAGAAGAAGGCGACCAAGGCTGGGAAGCGCGAGATCTTTGGCAAGGTCGTCATGGTGAAGGCGAAGCTGGCCAAGACTATCGTCAAGGCCTTCCCCGCAAAGGCCCTCAAAGACGAGTTCTGAGGGCCTCCCAGTCTGTGGCGAGCCCCGTGAAGGGGCTCCGCGTGTGCTTCCCCAGTCTTCCTCATTCACCCCTCCCTCCTCCGAGCAATCTTCGTGCCACCTTGTCCAGGTTGGCTGGAGGGTACGTGGTCATGCATGGCCTTCTGGCCCCAGGAAGCTCGGCGAGCCGTCCACGTGTACTCTACATCCGTCTCGCAGAGAAACGCAAAAAACACCCCTGGACTCCGAAGCAAGCCCTGAGGGTGAGCACCATTCCACAGAACTCGCCGTGGTACCAGTGGTTTCCCACGTCATGCCCAGCAGCCTGGGGACCTTTCCCCGTGCAGGAAGAGATTGGGAAGAGTAACGTCTTACAGTCCTCCCTCTCCCCTCGCTTCCTCCACCCTTTCCAGAGGATCGAACCTCCATGTGCGCTTTGAGAGCGGCTGCAGAACATCTTCAGCATGGAGGCCGAGCCCTCGTTTTGGAGGTCCTCGGTCCTCTGGGCTCCCCCCGCCCTCCATTTCCTCTCATGCCCCTCCACCCCGCCTCCCACCGTTCACTTCTTCCACCGTTCCGCCCTCCCTCCTCCCGTAGATAGACGAAAAAGTGGAACCCTTGACACCACGCCCTCCCCCCCCTCCCCCAATTTCAAAGTTGGCCTCAAGCATTTGGCAGCACAGGCGTGAGAGGACAAAAAAGTGGAACCCCCAGGGCCTCCGAGAGGCCGAACCCAACTTTGAACTTGGGAGGGCGGGGGGGGCGAATGCGGGGCCGAAAACGAAGGGGTTCCACTTCTTTGTCCCCTTACCGTCCCACCCTCCTCCCTCGGCTCCCCTGCTCTCTGTTCCCAGCGCTGCGGCATGCTGTGGCCTGTCTAGAGTCTGGCGAGCGGCTTGTGCCAGAAATGCATCCCGCGGGATGCGAAAAAGTAGGGCGGTAATTTCCGCCACGGGAAAGGAGGGCGGCCATTTCCGCAAAGGTATGGCGGAAGCAGCGAGGGCGCAAACCGACATCAACGGAGCCCTTGAAGCAGGGCGGGAATGTCCGCCTTGCAACATCGCCCAAAGTAGAGCGGCTCCGAAATCAGGGCCCGCCCCCCCTCCCCCCGACCATGCGCAGAGGGGGGTACGGTAGGTCTGTGTCGTGCCGACCGTCGGCGACACCGCCGCCGGCGTTCAACGTTGAACGCCGCTGGCGACCCAGAATCAGTCGATGTTGAACGATCGGACGTTTTGGAAACGGCCGATCGTTCAAGGTCGAACGATCCCCGCGGCATCAGGGACCAACGCCGAGGTCGACACGACAGGAACCTACCGTAGGGGGAGGGGGGAGGGCTTCTCAGAAGCACCCCTGCTTCGTAGAAGGCGCAGGCCCTGTCCGCAGATGTGGGGCCGGCGGCTTCTGAGAAGCAGCCTCCCTGGAAGAGGCCTCCCCGTCTCCCCCGACCCCCCTTTGTGCGCGCCGCCGGCGACAGCAGCAACAGAACCCCCCGACGCGACCTTTGCTCCTCCTCCTCCTCCTCCTCCTCCTCCTCCTCCTCCTCCTCCTCCTCCTCCTCCTCCTCCCCCCGTCTCCCCGACCCCCTTTGTGCGCGCCGCCGGCGACAGCAGCAACAGAAACCCCCCGACGCGACCTTTGCTCCCGACGCGGGGGGGCTCCCTGCCGCGCAGCCGCGCCCCCCCCCTGCCGCGGCCCTGGCCGCCCCTGGCAGAGGGCGGCGGAGGGGCCCAGTGCCGTGCCGGGCCTCCTCCTCTCTCCTCCTACTCCTCCTTCCTCCTCCTCCCCTCCTCCTCCTCCTCCTCCTCCTCCTTGTCCTCCTTCTCCTCCCCCCCTCCTCCATTCCTCCTCCGCCTCCTCCTCCTCCCCCTCCTCCCCCCCTCCTCCTCCTCCTCCTCCACCTCCTCCCCCTCCCTCCCCCATCCTCCTCCTCCCCCTCCTCCTCCTCCCCCTCCTCCTCCTCTTCCTCCTCCTCCTCCTCCTCCTCCTCCTCCCCTCCTCCTCCCTCCTTGGTCCTCCTTCCTCCCCCCCCCTCCTCCTTTCCTCCTCCGCCTCCTCCTCCTCCCCCTCCTCCTCCCCTCCTCCTCCTCCTCCCCCTCCTCCTCCCCCTCCCCCTCCTCTCCTCCTCCTCCTCCTCCTCCTCCTCCTCCTCCTCCTCCTCCTCCTCCTCCTCCTCCTCCTCCCCGTCTCCCCCGACCCCCTTTGTGCGCGCCGCCGGCGACAGCAGCAACAGAACCCCCCGACGCGACCTTTGCTCCCGACGCGGGGGGGCTCCCTGCCGCGCAGCCGCGGCCCCCCCCCTGCCGCGGCCCTGCCGCCCCTGGCAGAGGGCGGCGGAGGGGCCCAGTGCCGTGCCGAGCCTCCGCCTCCTCCTCCTCCTCCTCCTCCTCCTCCTCTCCTCCTCCTTCCTTCCCTCCTCCTCCTCCTCCTCCTCTCCTCCTCCTCCTCCTCCTTCCTCCTTCCTCCTCCTCCTCCTCCTCCTCCCCTCCTTTGTCCTCCTTCTCCTCCCCCCTCCTCCTTTCCTTTCCTCCTCCGCCTCCTCCTCCTCCCCCTCCTCCTCCCCCTCCTCCTCCTCCCCCTCCTTTCCTCCCCCTCCCCCTCCTCCTCCTCCCCTCCTCCTCCTCCTCCTCCTCCTCCCTCCTCCTCCTCCTCCTCCTCCTCCTCCTCCTCCTCCTCCTCCACCTCCTCCTCCTTCCTCCCCTCCTTCCTCCCCCTCCTCCTCCTCCTCCTCCTCCTCCTCCTCCTCCTCCTCCTCCTCTCCCTCCTCCTCCTCCTCCTCCTCCTCCTCCTCCTCCTCCTCCTCCTCCTCCCCCTCCTCCTCCTCCTCCTCCCCCAGAAACAGCCTGGGCCCGCCCGCGCCCGCCCGCTCCCCCGAGGACGCGTGCCTCGGGCCCGTGTCCCTTCTGCACCGGGACGCCGCCCTCCTCAGGGGCACGGCGGGCGGGGAGCCGCAGGTGCCCCTTCCGCCCGTGCGCCCCTCCCTCGCTGCGCCCGCGGGGCGGTGACGGGCTGAGCGAGGGAGGCTCCGAGAAGCAGTCGCAGGGGGGGGGGGTCGTTGGGAGATCTGTCCGCCTTCTCCTCCCTCCCCCTCCTCCGCCTCCGCCATCCTCCGCCTCCGCCTCCTCCACCTCCTCCTCCGCCTCCTCCTCCTCCTCCTCCATTCCTTTCCCTTCTAGACAACTCCTCCCTGCCGCACCTCGAGACGGGTCGAAAGGGCGGGCCGGGCGTTTCGCCTGAGACTTCTTCACCATGTACGACCCTGATGCTTAAACATCGGCAACAGTTTCACAGATGGAGGGCGGGTGGTCTTCAACATGTGGCTTTCGCCTTAGCGCCGCGTACATTGTTTTTCAAAAGAGCCTCACGGATTGAGGGCTGCTCGCTTTCAAACTTCGGATATCGCCTTAGCGCCGCGCACATTCTTCCAAACATATGCAAGACCTTCGCGGATTGAGGGCGGGTCGTTTTTTTTTTAATGTGGCTCTCGCCTTAGCGCCGCGCACATTCGTTTAAACATTCGCAAGAGCTTGACGGATTGAGGCCGGGTCGTTTTCAAAATGTGGCCTTCGTCTTAGCGCCGCTCACATTCTTCGTGGGTTGAGGCGGGTTGTTTTCAGAATGTCGCTCTCGCCTTAGCGCAGCGCACATTCTGTGTCAACTTTTGCAAGAGCTTCACAGACTGAGGGCGGGTCGTTTTCAAAATGTCGCTCTCGCCTGAGCGCCGCGCACATTCGCTTAAACATTCGCAAGAGCTTCACGGATTGAGGGCGGGCCGTTTTCAAAATGTGGTCTTCGCCTTAGCGCCACGCACATTCTCTTTAAACATTTGTAAGGGTTTCACTGATTATCAGGGTTACCGTACCAGACATGGCGTTCTGGAGCGATTCAGGATTATCAGGGCGCAGCAATTATATTGATTCGAAGTGTTGAATTCCCAGGAATGGTGTTCTTGCGCGATCCAGGATTGCAAAGACGTGACGGTGAGGTTAACGCGTGGCGTTGGAGTCCTGAGAATGATGTTTTGGCACGCTTCACGATGTTCACACGGTTGTCCCCCAACTGGGCAATTCCTTCAGTGGAAATGGCCCTTTGTAGGGGCCTATGAAGAGGGATCTTGAAGGGAGGATGTACTTCAACATCGTTGATGTGTCTTGGGTTTACACTGGTCCTCCTCCTCCTCCTCCTCCTCCTCCTCCTCCTCCTCCTCCTCCTCCTATCCCCTCTCCTCCCGCTTCTCCTCCTCCCCTCCTCCCTCTCCGTCCCCTCTCCCTTTCTCCTCTTCCTCCTCCTCCTCCTCCTCCTCCTCCTCCTCCTCCTCCTCCTCCTCCTCCTCCTCCCCCTCCTCCTCCACCACCACCACCTCCTCGAGACGCTGCAGAAAGAACGTGGGACATCCTGGCGCCGTGCGCGGTGGGTTTCCCGCTGCACGATCCTGCAGAGGGCGCCGGTAGACGGTTGCGGGCCCCGTGCCCACAGGCCTCGCACAAGACGGCAGGGTGGGAAGGGGCGGGGACTCCAAGGGGCGAGGGTCGGGTGTGCGAGCTCGTGGGGTCGGAGGCCGCCAGCCGGGCCCCCGAGGCCGCCAGGGGCCGCAAAGCAGCCCTGCCCCTCCTCCTCCTCCTCCTCCTCCCCCTCCTCCCTCCTCCTCCTCCCTCCTCCTCCTCCTCCTCCTCCTCCTCCTCCTCCTCCTCCCTACCGCCTCCTCCTCCTCCTGCTCCTCCTCCTCCTCCTCCCTCCTCCTCCTCCTCCTCCTCCTCCTCCTCCTCCTCCTCCTCCTCCCCTCCTCCTCCTCCTCCTCCTCCTCCTCCTCCTCCTCCTCCTCCTCCTCCTCCTCCTCCTCCTCTCCTCCGCAGCCGTGGCCCCTTGGCGTCGGCAGATGCGGCACCGCACGACACCGGCCGCAGACACAGGAGCGTGCACCTCGCTCACCACCTACCAAACCACCCCAACCCAACCCGAAGGCCTCAACTTGCCCTCCATTTCCAGTGGGGGGGGGTCGGGGAACGCTGAAAAAACACATGGAACCCGTACCCCCCCAACCCGAAATTCGGGTCAAATTCGGGTCTTCGGGTTGGGTTGGGGTGGTCTGGTAGGTAGTCACTCGCGGGGCTGGTACAGCCGAAGGGTGGGGGCAGTTCTCCTGAAGGTGTTCTCATGTCTTGCGCGTAGTATCACACTGGGCGGCAAAGGCATTTCGCCATCGCAGCCCCAAGCCCCGCCCCGACAAGAAGCGTGTCTGGCGGCTGAGACTCAGCAGGCAGAGCGGAGGGGGCACGGTGCGGTTGGGTGGCCGGGTTGCTCGCATTGTCGGTCATGGCGTTGCCGACTCTGCCGATGTCACGATATCGGCCTGCCTGAACGTCGGCCAGGGTCGCGTGGCCTAGAATTGTAGAGATACGGGGACCCTGGAATCTGAGACCTGCGAAGTCCGCCCAAAGCCTCCGACATTGCCTCCACAGATGGGCCCACGCGGCCTTGGGACGGGTAGGGGCAGCGTCGCCACGCTCAAGGATCCCACCGACCACGACTTTTGAATCCGAGAGAACTCGAACGGGTGGCATAACATTCTGCAGAACAAGCATGGCGGCCTTACGCTCAACTCCGTCTACGTCGGGGAGCGGTTCGACACGGAGACCCATGACCTGAGTGTCGATGCGCTGAGTCGGGGAGATTGGGCCATCCGACAGATAAACGGCCGCCCAACCACGCAAGCACAGGTCAGGGTGAACATAATCAAAAGCGGAGCCGTCAATGTAATCATTGGGGCCCCTCCTCCTCCGCCTCCTTCGCCACCCGCGCCTCCTTCTCGTTTTCCTCTCCTTGGTCCTCCTTCTCCTCCCCCCCTCCACCTTTCCTCCTTCTCCTCCTCCTCCTCCGCCTCCTCCTCCTCCTCTTCCTCCTCCTC